TAGCTAATGCTTGGTGTTCCTCCCACAATTAGCATAAGGTACAGTATTAGCATATGCTAATACCTGTGCACTAGAGGATTGTGGGAGGAACACCTAGCCCCTGTTGGGGGTCCCGCAGGGCACCCCAAAACACTGAGGAGCTCTCTTGGCCTCTGGCAGGACTGGGGCTGTGCAGCCCTGTACTGAGTGGGAGGTGCAGCCAGGGGGTCACCATGCCTTGGGGGGTCAGGGGACAGAAGGGGGTATGAGGTGCAAGGGCCATACCAACTCATTCTTTGCAGAGGAAATACTATGTCACAAAGGTGGTTATTCCCAGGGGGAGGCTCATCCATTGCACTTCAGGTATGCTGCTGATTCCTGTGATTTTCCCCCCAAATGTTGGGAACTCAACTGCATAATTTGTGTTAATGGGAGATTGCACTTGTGATTTTCCTGGTTTTCTAGATTCTTTTTCATCTCTCTCCTCATCAGGACCTATTGCAAAGTTAGCAAGTCCTGGTGATGTCTTGTATTGCATTTTCCTTTTTTTCTCCCCTGTGGTAAAGGATCAAGGCAAAAGGAGCCACCGTTATTAAGAGCCAGGGGGCTGCTTTGACTCCTTTCATCCTCTTTCTTTGTTGCTAGAGAGAGAAAGAGGAAGGCCATTTGAGACCCACTGAATTTCCAAAGGCAGTGCAGGTGAGGGGATTATTTTTTCCCAATATGGTATGGGGAACTGTGTTTTGCCAGACCATGTCTTCTATGGACAATTTTCACAAGATAGTGATTTTTTTTTCCCAATTGGAATGCATTAAATAGATTTCAATGCATTCCAATTGGGGAACTGGGGTTTTGGAAGATGTTTTCGCAAGACAGTAATTTCCATGGAACGAATTAGAATTGTCTTGCAAAGCACCAATGTATATATGTGTGTGTGTGTGTGTGTGTGTGTGTGTGTGTGTCTGTGTCTGTGTCTGTGTCTGTGTCTGTGTGTGTGTGTATTTCTCCTGCTAGCAAGATGTACTAAGAAAAAGGGACTTGCCTATTAATAGACTTCAGAAGAATCATTGTGTCCCATTTTGTAAGTTAATAATAAAAAGAATGTTACACCACTGTTCCGAGTTTGTTCTGAAAGGGGAAATATAATTTGCTCTAAAATGAAAGTGAAAATTTTGCATTCGTTCTTATTTGTGAGATTACCATTCTCCTGCTAGCAAGATGTACTAAGAAAAAGGGACTTGCCTATTAATAGACTTCAGAAGAATCATTGTGTCCCATTTTGTAAGTTAATAATAAAAAGAATGTTACACCACTGTTCCGAGTTTGTTCTGAAAGGGGAAATATAATTTGCTCTAAAATGAAAGTGAAAATTTTGCATTCGTTCTTATTTGTGAGATTACCAAAACCTGCACAGGCTCCTTTTCATTGGTTTTTAAATTATCATTTGGGTCTTGAAGATAGCAACAAAAGATGGCCCCACCTGCAGTAGTCCTACCCTTACCTCAGTGTCCTGCTCCCATCTTCCCCTGTCTTGTCTTCTGCCTGGCCCTCAACTTTTTTCTTTTGCATTACTCACACATTTTTCCTATGGGAATGTGCTGGCGCCCAACAACAACCATTCCCAAACGCCTGCACTAAGTCTGCCATTGAAACTTGTGAACAAGGACTCCGCTAGGCTTATACCTCTCTCCAACCCAAGCCAGCAGTCAATGCCAGCTTTTGAGTAGCATGGTGCCAACAACCCAATTAACCAGAGGTTGCATCGTCGGTATAAGGGAACATGATTGTATTTCATGAAAAGCCAAGAAAACATATTGCTGAGGTTAAAAAAATCAAACAATCCTAATGAATGGCAAACCTTAACTCCAGAAAAGGGTATGAAATAGCTTTCAGAAGAAACACTACTACGAATTTATCATTTTTGGAACAGAAAGCAAAGCTTATGACAGAAAAGATTTCTGACAGAAAAGATTTCCAGCAAGAAGCCAATGGTACACTTCTGCCAAATTGAAATATCTTTAGGAATTTTAATGGGGGCTGGGGCAAGCATGCATAATTAGCATAATTTGATTAAATGGCACATACCACTACAATATACAGTGGTGCCTCGACTTACGAACTTAATCTGTATCGGATTGGTGTTCTCAAGTCGAAATGCTCATAAGTCGAAGCCCCATTTCCCACTGAAATGCATGGGAACAGGATTAATCCGTCCCAGCATTTCAAAAAAAAAAAACAAAACAAAAAATAAAAATAAAGCACACAGAAAGCCCCATCGGAAGGCGCTGGGGCTTTTTAAAAAAACAAAAATAAACAGAGCAAGCCACAAAGGCTGCAAAAACAAACAAACAAAAATCACCAAAATCAAAACATAAACATTGAGCAATCCGCATGCTGGGACTGCCAAAAAAAAAAAAAAAACCACACACACAGAAACATAACCCCACTCAGCTGAAATCACCCTGCAAAACCTACCCAGAAGTTTCTAAAAAGGAAAAAGCAGCACCGAAGCCTCATCCAATGGCACTCACTCCCCGGCGGGGAGCCTCCTCCTGTGCCACTGCCGCCACACACCCCATCCACAGGGGAGCCCCTCCAACCCGCATACCTCAGCCCAGCGCCTTCGGCTGGCCTTACTCATGAGTAGACCCATGCCTGCTGCAGGCCTTACTCATGAGTAGACCCGCACCAGGGATGGGCAGGGAGCGCTCCGGCTTCCTGCGCCCACGGCGATCCATAGCCAACCCCCCCCTCCTTCCTCCTCCTGCGCCGCAGGAGTAAAAAAGGTTCCGACTCCATTCTCTAACCACTGGGGCGAAAGAGCTACAAAGAAGCAGCCTCTTTGCCACCAATGGTTTGAATTTCCCGCCTTTTTTCCTGCCTTTTTCTGTTCTTAAGTCGAAGCTCCACTTGCAAGTTGAAGCAAAATTTTGCGAGCGGAGCGGCTCATAAGTCAAAATGTTTGCAGGTAGGGGCGTTCGTAAGTTGAGGCACCACTATAGTGGCTGAAATCCTGTTTGTGCAGTTACTCCACATTTTACTGATGATCAGCACCAAAAACATGGTTTCCATTATAGATGGGAATGTGTACCTAATATTATTTGTTAATGTGGAAAATACATGACAGCTGCTCTAGAACAGAGAAGAAAAAGCATTTTATATTTTAGATTAATTGTGGTTAAGAAAAATGTTTCAATATGCTCTTTCTAAATCTCAGTTTGCTGCTTTCTGTTCTGCCAAAAGCTCTTGATTTACAGTGGGGTCTTGACTTAAGAACGGCTTGAGTTAAGAACATTTTGACTTAAGAACCTCTCTCATAGGAAAATATTGACTTGACTTACATACTTAGATTTGAGTTAAGAACGGAAAAAAACCCACGTGGGAGGCAGGGAAAGTGCAAAATGTGAACTTTCAGTTAACGGTTGGCTAGTGAAAAGGGAGCCTGTCTGCTTCCTCACTCCTCCCAGCGTTTAGAGAGGGGATTGGGAGACAGTCTTCGGACTGCCTGGTACTGTACTGCCTGGACTGTATTTTCCCTGCCTTCCCTGAACCTTTCTTGACCTAAGAAAAAAAGAAACAAAATATCTCCCTCTAGTGGTCGAAGGCGGAATAGCAGCTTCCCTTTAGTTTCTATGGACGGAAAAGAGCAGATACGGATCAAATGGTTTTCAATGCATTCCTATGGGAAATGCAGATTTGACCTGAGAACTTTTTGACTTGAGAACCGCCTTCCAATACGGATTAAGTTCTCAAGTCAAGACCCCAATGTAATTCTGGGACATGTGCAAACACAACTCCTTATGTAACTGCAATAAGGAATTGCATAAACCCTCTTGACTGCAGCCCTTGGAATGAATCTGAACAACTTAACAGTTATGAACCCATTTTTATGGAAACAAGTTCTATTTAAATCACTAGAACTTCATTTCAAATAAAAAATGTTTTTTCCTTTCAGAGGTGCTGCTGTTAGTTTGAAGGCTGCATACATTTGGAAGCAGTAAAACTAAAATGAAAGTGCTGGAATTACAGTTATGCTTTGGAAATGGCTGGATGCTGCTCCTTTTCATGTTGCTGGAAGGTGACCCTTCCCCGAAACTAATTAACATTTTGAAATGCGCCAAGATGGTAAACCCTATATTTATCTTTGCCTTTCGCGTGGCAACATTATAACAATTGTCATAGCAAATGGTCATAGCAATATCGGAACTTTAATTGCAAAGCTTCCTGCATGTATGTTAATATGCAACGCCAGCTCTTCTCAGCAGGTGTTCCACGTGATGAAGTTCGCTTCATGAATAATTTATCCAGAAAGCCATTTCTGCCAAGATACAATTTGCAGTGTTTTTTCAAGTTAGATCAGTAAAAAAAAAAAAAAAATCAGGAACTGTCATTGCCAATTTGTTCCGATCCCGACGCCAAAGGTCATACCCTCAACACAGCATTGCAGAGGTTAGAAATGCTCTTTTCTTCTCCAGCCTGTCAGCCGTCATATAGCATTTTTATTTCCACAGTTGCTTCCCTAACACCCAAGAAGTGTTGGCAATTTCTAGACAGGTCACAAAAAGAAGATGGTGCAAAGCTTCACGCCTCTTGGAAGTAGGCGGAGCATACTGTTCCACCCATGGATCTCAGTTTCCCAAAGTGCAAATGGGGATCACCCTATTTAAAGTAAGAGAGGCTCCAAACGCAGAGGAGGGGTTGTGAATATCCTCTTATGCAATCTTGAGAGCAGTCAAACCATGAGCACAATGCCTACTGTGTGAACAGTAGAAGGAAGATGATTCTGCCCAAACATGTCTGCTTCATTCATGCACAGAGAAATGTGCACCTGAGTCATGCAGCACTATTGGCTCCCCCACTATTCCTTGCACAGCACATGCATATATGGCTTACATCAGATGTGACCTTGGGCTTATGACCTTCAAAACATTTAAAGCTAAAAATTAATAAAAATAGAACTAAAAATCTAGGGAGCATGTGAAGCATTTCTGCTTGTATTTCAAACTATTTTTATTCCTTACCACATATCTAAGATTTAAATTTTCTATTTTGCCATAGCAAACATCCAGGAGTGTAACTGGCTGTATAACAAAGTTTCCTCCCAATGTCCAAGGCAATGCAAGTCTTGATAGATCAGAAACCTGAAACAGAAACACAGGAGAAACATTAAGATAGTGTGTCCACTAAATTATCTTGATGTGGTTACATCAAACCAGTCCTGGAGCACCACATTTCACAAAAATTTACCACTTTCCAGGCATTTTCATCCAGCCAGTGATGAACTGGTTAAGTGGTAATTAAAGACGCTATCTATTTACCAGAATTGGCCATTAGAGAAAGCCACAATCCACTAGAGCAGACCTTGGCAAAGTGCGGCCCAAGGGCCACATACGGCCCGCGAGCATCTCCTGTCCAACCCGCAGACAGTTTTGAACATCAAAACCATCTATAGCTTGTTGTCTAAAGTTGATCAGTTGCTTATCTTTAACATACCGCAAAAACCTCTTTAGTATTTGTGAAGATTAACAAGTTTAAAATAAAAACAATCATAACATCACTATTTCATTTTATTTTTAAGTAAAGTTGGTTCAGCTCCTGAACACAGTTCAGATTTTTCATGTGGCCCCCCCTACAGAAATTAATTGCCCACCCCTGCACTAGAGGGAGCCTCATGGCACAGTGGTTAAATTGCTATACTGCAGCGAAAACTGCTCATGACTCAGGGTTCAATCCCAGGTAGCTGGCTCAAGGTTAACTCAGCCTTCCATTCTTCTGAGGTCAGTAAAATGAGTACTCATCTCACGGGGGAAGGGGGGCAATGTGTGGCCTGCATAATTAACAGTAAACTGCCCAGAGAATGCTTTAAGCACTATGGGGCAGTATATAAGCAGCATGCTTTGCTTTTGTTGTTGTTGTTGTTCTGTGTATACTATTCATTTTTTTCTGTAATTTTCAGAAATTGAACATATCCCCATGAATATTGTAATTACCAAAATGCTCAGAATACATTGTTTTAAATTGATACCTTGTGAAACACTGTACACTGGTGTAATGAAACTCTTCCAGGTTTATCTTAATCAATTTACTCATTATATGGTAAAAATCTAGTTGTTCTGTTTGTTTTTATTTTCAAAAAAAGGGGGAGGGGGTTCCCCTTCAGAATTTTGCTCATATGGCTACATTGAGTTGTTATTTATAGTTCCAAAAATTTTTTTCTCAGAAATGTGCATTATGTCCATTTATGTTGGACTTGGTCAAAACACGAAAAAGGATGTCTAACATTTCAGTATGTCGGTTATTCATATGAAATCAAATTGTCAACAAAGCACGCATGCTATTGTAGAACAAGCTTGTCAGCTGGGCCCTGCATTTTTATAAGGCAAACACCCTCCTGCTTGGTCCAGAAGCTATTACTACACCAAGTCATAAAATGCCTTCTACAGAGGCAATGCAAGCATGTTGTAATCTAAGATTTATAGTCCAAAGACAACAGTAATGCAATTTACCCTATGCCCCCACATCAGCCTCACCAAGTCAGGGATCATTAATATTATAGCTGAACAACATCAGGAGGACCCCACATTTCTTACTCCTGCACTCCTTTAACAATGCATTGATTTAGAATTTGAATTGTCTCAGAAAAAAACTCAGTACTGAAATGCAATTTTTAAAGTAAAATGAGTAGATTCAATTCTGAATGGAAATTTCTCTAACCTATATATATATGTGTGTATATTTTGGGTCAGTATATGAAAATGATGAATGCAGGAACTTTTGCTTATGAGTGCCAACACAGAAAGGCTTCCTAAGTATGATGACAACATAACAATTTGAGCACTCTAGTTCTTGTACATGGCCCTTTCAAATAAACCTGCTGCCCACTGCCTGAAGCAGGAGCACCATACGCAATTTTACATTTCTCTATATGCAGCAAATTACCGTATTTTTCGCTCCATAAGACGCACCTTTCCATAAGACGCACCAATTTTTTAGGAGAAGAAAACAGGAAAATATAAGCTGTTTTCTTCGCTCCATAAGACGCACAGACTTTCCTGCAATTTTACATTTCTCTATATGTAGCAAATTAGGTTTGAATGCACTGTTATAATTTAATACTCATAGTGCAACTGCAACCCTGATGAGAAATCAGTCCTCCCATACAACGTATATATTAGTGAATCACTCATGTGTACTATTCTGTCAACAGAAACAGAAGGAAATGAAGCCTTGATGACATATTGGATACCACCTTGTATTTCTCCAGAGGCCCATAAAGGGTATGTTGTTGTTTTATTTAAAACCAGTTTTATTTTTCAGGACAACCAGATTTTCTTTCCAAAATGGAGTTATATTGCCCTCTGCAGGACTTTTTCTAGGGATCTGAAATCAGAAGTCTAGTACTGTATCTCTAAGTCATTGAAGTGTCCCATTGGCAGCCAGAGAGGGCTGCGATACAGACTCACTATAACACCAGAGCATATGAAGCAATACATGAAGAATTCAGAAAGACAGCGAGAACGGAGGTCAATGGCAAGATGAAGTGTCCTCTTTGTTCTGATCAGTGACCACCAATGGTCAATAAGAGATCACAAAAGTGAGATCACAGATTGAGGAAGATATGTTAAAGAAGAATAAACACAGCCTACTATGTATTCGTGAAGGCTTTCATGGCTGGGATCAAATGGTTGTTGTGGGTTTTTCGGGCTCTTTGGCCGTGTTCTGAAGGTTGTTCTGAAGGGGTTTGGTGATAGGATCCTAAAGAATTCAATAAGGTAGTCCTTTTCAATGACAGACAGGACCCATCTGTCAGTTGTTATTCACTGCCATTCTGAGAGGAATGAAGAAAGTCTCGCAGGGCTAGCTAAATTGTAATGATTAAGATATTGCTTACCCTTTTGCTGCTGCCTACGGAAGGGCTGTCTGATGTTTTGAGGTTGTTGCTGTCGAAACTGTGGAGAAGCAGTATGCGTTGGTTGCTAAGGTCTTTCTTGAGACTGCTGCTTATGCGTGCAAAATGGTTGATACTGATACTGTTGTTGGTAGTATGGCTTTCTGTAAGAAGGTTTTTGATATCGATAGGGCTGTTGTGGAACATAAGACTTCGCTGTCTTTCTCATCTTATGGATGTTTTCCATCATGTCATCCATTTTGGCATTGAATAGACCGGCTGCATCGAACGGGAGGTCTTCAATCCTAGCCTTGGTACCGTCAACAATGTTAGCCGATCTAAGCCAGGCATATCTTCTAACGGCTATCGAGATAGCCATGGTCTTCGATGCCGTGTCTACCATGTGCCTCACGGCCACTCTTTGTTGTTTGGCCAGAGTCATAGCTTCTGTATATATGTTAAGCAGTTCCGGTTTTGTTGTTTCAGGTGCTGATTGCAGCGTAGGGACTATCTTGTCCCATAAATTTCTTTGATAGGCGCCCATAGCTGCCTGGTAGTTGGAAATTCTAATCAGCAGTGCTGCAAGGGAGTAGAGTTTCCTCCCTAACAAGTCGATTTTGCTACCCTCCCTGTTCATCGGGGTCATTGATGACCTGTTGCGGGACTTGTATTGAGTAGACTCAACGACTATTGAGTTAAGTGTTGGGTGCTTCAGCAGAAAGGCAGCATCAGCACCATGTGTCTTATAATGGTGTTCTACTTTGTGTGGAGTTTGTAGCGTTGAGGGTGGCTCGTCCCATGATTCTTTGACAAGCTGAAGTAACGCCGGTATGAGGCTCAAGCTAGGTGGAGGTGTCTTGTTTTGTTCCAGGTCATTCTCTTTCGTGACGGTCTTTCTTGGTGTCAAGGATGACTTGGTGGAGGAGATCTCGTGGGGGAGTACCATGTCGATGGTGGGTATCTAGGTTCCCTGTAGTGGTCTTGGTAGCCATAGTCATGGTATTGATAAAGATGGTACTGGTCGAAGTAGTGATGACCGTAATACGGGGGACGTTCGGCATGGCAGCAGTGGTCTCCATGTTGATGAGATTGGTATGGAGAGGTATGTCTACACTTCTCCGTTCTCCTTCTCGGGGAGCATCCCGGAGATTCCGATTCACATGCCACACCGACATTTACCCACCCTGATGTTCGAGGACTGTAAGGGGCCGCGGCCAGGTTGGAAGGTACAGCAGCCTCAGATTGGCCTGAGCTCGGTGACATGCTAAGGATGGCATGTGGTGCCTGAGCTGAGGAGATCATATGCTCCTCTCTGTCCGAGAGCGTGGGCACTTCTCTGGAGGACTCCTCCATAGGCAGCGGAGCTGGTGGAGGAACTGCAATAGTCGATTTAGCAGTCTTCTTTTGCTTTTTAGTTTTATCCCTATCTTTTTCTTCTTTGCAGGGTCATCCGACCGCAACTGGGCCTTAGTAATCGATTTAGAAGATTTCTGTGATTCTTTAGATTTGGTAGGTATCAATGTTGTGATAGCCATAGATTGGGTAGCCAGACTGGGTGCGTGATAGCCATAGATTGGGTAGCCGGACTGGGTGTAGCTTGGCCGTTTCTGGCCGAGGAGGGTTGGACGAAGGGGGGGGGGTCCTCACTTCCATAAGTTGGATTTAGAGTCTTTTCGTACAAAAAGCTTTGGCCATTTCTGGCCAAGGAGGGTTGGACGAAGGGGGGGGGTCCCCACTTCCATAGTTGGATTTAGAGTCTTTTCGTACAAAAAGAATCTTAGGCACTGAAGCCTCACTTTAATAGCTGGTTTGGAGAGGCTTTTACACGCGGTACACAACTGAGTTTGATGGGATTCTCCCAGGCAAAATGTCTGTCGGTCAAAGGGATTTTGCAAAGGCAAACAGAGCACCTCTTGAATCCCCAAGGGGCCATAAAACGGTGTAGGAATATGGGAAAAACCCCAGGGAAAAAGAGGGGGGAAGGCGGGAAGAGAAAAAAATAATGTTGTATGGTAATAAAAAAGATTCTAATTGCTAAGGGAATAACTAAAAATGATTCTAAAGAGAAAGAACTAGAAGAAAGAACACTAGTTAACCATTTGTGTGCATTCATAGAGGCCACTACGAAGAAAGTAGGTTCTCTTACTTCCAAGAGCTCCATTTTCTTTTTCTAATTCAACTTTTGGGGGGTGCAATTGAAAAATGAGTGACTTTTAGCTATGTACATATCATGTCATTAATGCAGTGAGAGGAAATACTCTGCCAAATTAACCTGTAGAAGAACCACCAAGCATTTCCTGCTGCAGAATTCTATTAGTTTAACACGAAAGATGAAAACGTGATTTCGGGAATAAGTGGCACAGGGCAAAAGTAAAATGAATTCAGTTTTCTGAAACAAATATGGGGTTGAATTTGGGTGGAGGGTGGGAGAATCAGTTGTTTCTGCTTGATTGACTGTAAAGAAATGAAAATTTATCAAACTAGCAGGTAAATGTCCATCCACTCACCTTCCCTGTCGTGCAAAACTCTTACCAGGAAGAAATGTAATATAAGCAAGGAATTAAATCGAGCATTCCAAACCATCTCACAAAGCGTATTTGAATTTCGGGGGGGGGGGGG